CCCACCCGGCTGCACTCAAGAAAAAAAAAGGGGGGAAAAAGGAAAGGGAGAGAGATGGAAGGTGTGATTAATACCCTTTACATGTCTATTACTGTTTGGCACTGTTGAAGAATCTGGATTTAAATGTTTTGGGAGAACCAGATTTATGCAATTGATGCAGAGAGTTGTGTTTGCTCACAAACTGTTTAAAATAAATTTATTCACTACTAAAGAACTTGTGAGTGTGAGATTACATCTACATCTCATCCCTCCCATGTCTAATTCCTGGAAGGCTTTTGAACATGCTCTGTAACTGTTTCAGGCTGAAAAGGCTAAGGAAAAGGAGGAGCTGGTGTCAAGAGGATTTCATGAACTTCAGCAAAGGTTTTTTTGAATTTTTACATGTTAATAGTCATTTGATTTGTCTTGTTCATTAGTTCGAAATGATCTATTTCTCCAGAAGATAAACTAAGTAAATATTATATTACAAATAAGCACCAAAGTCACACCAGGAACAATGTTGTAAATAAACGATCCTATCATAGATCCATTGGGGTCTTGAAATAATATAAATAGGATTCACTCTACGTAATTTATTAGACCGGTTTATGCTTGTAGCTACCCCGGGGGTTTCAAAATATCTATTCTAAGGCCTAGTATCCCCACAAGATATGCGGTTCTAAGGATTTGCTTCGAATTAACATTTATCATGCTGTCAAATGTTCTATTTCCCATTTTACTCAAAGGACCTGCCAATACCATCAAGGGTCTTATCTTCAAAAACCCCTTTTCTAATAATGGATATGTCTGCTTTATCGCCTCACCTTTGGAACAGCCAAAGCAAAGCGCAAGAAGGCTCGTTGAATAGCTGCGATAGCACACAAAGTAACATTCGTTGGTGTTACCATGAAAGTTCATTATTGGCTGCAGACTATATTGGACAATGTAGAATAGAAAAGATGTGGATACTGGTGTTTTTGACCTCCTACTGTAGTAGAGAAGCAATGGAGTTATGAACTTAGCAATTTTCTTGTAGTTTAGTGATTTAATTTGGTCGTGAGTAGGCTTTGGGTGTGAAGCTGGTGTATTCCCTAATTTCAAGACTTCGGAACTCTGCTCTTCTTTTATTCTTCTTTATTCTTGCATTTTGCCACTCCTCCCATTGGCAATTGAGTGCAAAGGAAGTAACTTCTAAAAGGATCTGAACAGTTGATGTTTCTAAGAAGCAACTTCTTTTCCGTTGGACACTTCGATAATGTGCTGGCCTCGTTATTCAAGTTTGGTGAAGTTTAGAATTTTTGAACTTTTTGCTGAACCTGACTACTGGGTTTGCAGTTTGGTGAAGTATATGCACTTGTGGGCTTATACTGGATTTTTTGTTGTTGTTGTTGTTGTCTGCAGAACTTGACTACTAAAAAAGAGGTCATAGCCTATTTTTGTAAATTTTATGTTTTCTTCATGAAGATGAATATGGTCTATTTGTAGTCTCCACAAAAATGCCAAATATACAAAACTATCTAAAAAGTTTATCTGGGAATATATGCAGTGTAGCATAATATTGTCCTTATGTTCCATCTTTGACGCAGGATTGAAGAGCTAAACTGTGAATTACTTGAAGAGAAAATATTGACGGCTACTTTACAGAGTGATTTGGACAGAGAAGAGAGGTTAGATGAGGCTTTCAAGGAGGTACTTAGTTCTAATGCCCTCCGTGTGAATCCATATGCATAATTACAAAACTAAAACATATATAGAGAAGTGCTCATTTCTCTCTGTGTAAGTTTTTGATGAGGTGGTTCTCACGAATCAACATGGTATCAAAGTAGGTAGAGCTCCTTAAGCTTAAGCTTTCGGATGAGATGATCACACAATACAACAATCTCAATCTTCCCCCAAATATGAAAAAATAGACTTTGCTGATATTTCCCTGCACTTTGTACGACACGGGATGGGTCAAACTTACTCTTTGGAAACATTCTATTTATGTGATTATTGGACCAAGGAACTTCTCAACAATAAGAAAGAAAACTATAGATTAGATCCTTTTCATTACTGCTAATTGTCCACCCTTTCCAAGTTTGAAGATGTAATATTTTGTACAACAGGTTGTTCATAAGTTCTATGAGATCAGACAGCAATCATTGGGGGATATCGAAGATGTGTCCTGGGAAGACAAATGTGGGTGCCTCCTGCATGATTCGTCTGAAATGTGGACTTTCAGACCTGGGGAAACATCCACCTCGAAGTACATTGTGAGTTCCAGAAAGTTAGCATTGGATGTTACTGGTTATAACTGATTCTTGCTTTATCTCAAATCACTTGAGCAGCTTTCATTTTAGTCTATCCCGAATTACTTCATTCATCCCCGTAATTACAAAGTTTCACTGCCAAAAATCAAAGTACAAACTGATGCTCCTTCTTATTAATTTTAGGGCATATTTCCATCAGACTTCCTCGGTTCACAAAATCCAACTTTTATGTTAATCATATTTCTAACTATCTCCAATTTTAATATTCCATTCAACTTTCTCTCTCAATTACTTTCTGCTAAAGGAGATTACGTAAAATGGGGTTGTTTTGATCCTGAACTAATTTAACTTGATGTTACCTGTTATCTGAGCATTCTTCTATGTTTGATGTCTAGTTGTCTACCTTGTCAGTTTTCCTTTTGTTTCCGTATTTTTACTTGAGAGCTTACCATTAAATGTTTATTATTAGTGTGAGCTCTTGTCCAAGAATGGTAACACCCTTTGTGGTGGGTTAGATGCTCTTTCATTTAATCATGAGATGGAGAAGTGTGAGTATTGAAAAAGATATTTGCCAAATACTTGCATTACTTCAAAGGCTGGTTATGGAATACCCCGTATTTGAGTGTGGGAAGCGTCATAAAATGCATGGAATTTGGAATCCAAGTCACTAACAATTGTTATTGTGGACTACTGGACTGATTATTTCTTTAGAATTGTTCAAACTTGTCAAAAAGAAATGTTCAAGCTTATTATATGATCTTGACTAACGTTCCTCAGACAGAGTGCACTGGAAGAACAAGTGGAGACACTACGAAAATCTTTGGATAATCTTCAGAACAAGCTACAAATGGTATGTAGTTTCTCATCCTCGATTTGTTCGATTTTGCCGAAACTTCTTGTTCTACTCATTTCTTAATCATTTGATTGTATTCTTCTCTGTTTATTTTACTTTTACTTGTTTTTGTGTTTTCAGGGTCTTGAAATAGAAAATCACTTGAAGAAGAAAGTGCGTGCCTTGGAAAAGCAGAAAGTATGAACATTGTTACTCTAAAATGGAATATAAGAACCAATTTTGTTAAGATTACTGAAAGGACTGACTGCAGATTCGTTCAGAAGAGAAGCTCAGGGCTCAAATATCGACATTTCACCATTATCATTCTCAGCATAGACTTGATATTACAAGCTTACTTGATGAGGGATTTTCCCATATTAAATCAGCTATGAACATGGTGGAAGAAAAGCTCAAGGGCTGCAGCATGAGCGAGAGAGACTTAAATTCTTCTCAAGTAGATGATTTAAAGTTCAATGAACTTGAATTTCAAGATGTTCGGATAAACAATGATGATGGTTCAGATTTGATCTTTAAGGTAGTTAGTTCTTGCTTTTGCTCTAGACATTTCTACATCTTCACCCTTCCATTTTATTTTGGTAGTGTTCTCTTCTAGGAGTTTTCTTCCATAAGAAGGTTTCTGTTGCACTCAAGTTTCTCAGTTATGCACTAATAATGATGAAGATTCAAGGGGCCAAAGCTATTGTCTTTCTTAGAATGTTATGGTGATAATAACAAATGTATAGCATATCTATTAAAGAAAGAAAAGGACTAGACATTAAGATGCTATCGGTTGATTGTACAGATTTTGTGTTCTCAGACCTCTATTTGCGTTAGTAGTTTGTATCGCTACTAATAATTGAGATGGCTTAATCCTCAGGGGTTGGCCTGGTGGCAATTGACTTAAGCCTTGGGGTTTGCTCCCTTTCAAGGTCTCAAGTTCGAAACCCACTGGGTGCAAACAATTTCTGAGGGCCATCGGACTGGGTAAAACCTGAATTAACCGTGGTGCACTTGCGGGAAACTCCTTGCCGAGGGCCTGTGCGCCCCGGGATTAGTCGGGGCTCTTAGAGACTCGGACACCCGGTGCAAATCAAAAAAAAATAATTGAGATGGCTTGTACAAGCTTCCACTCGTTTTTTTGTGGTTTGAAGAAAAAGTTTAGTGTGTGATCTTTTGCATTTTCTGCTGTCAAAGAGATTGGACAAATATTATTTTTGAGTTCGTCTCCTGAGATTTTATCAGTGTTTCTTGGAGTAGGTTCTCTATTTCCTAAAATGGTGTAAACTAAAAGCTTGTTCCCTTAGTGGATTCTCTCTTTTGATTCTGTAAAGTCGATGCTTACAATCTTGACATGCTTCTGTTGATATCAGCAGTCACGTTGGAGCAGGATGGGCTACTTTTTTTATTACTGTTTGGATTAGCTTTATCTGCTTTTGCAGTCTAATCTAGTGAGAATGAACCATATAAGTGAGAGGCTTATGAATAAAATATGCTGTCAACATGTTTCTGAAGTTTCTCTATCTCTACCTGTTGCAGAGGAACGAGCCTTGCTCGACAACTACCACTACTGTTGGAAATAGTGATGCTTCTAAAGCCCTTGCTCTGGCACTAAATGAGAAGGTTTCATAACTGGTGCAGTAAAAGTGAGCAACTTTCAAATTGTAAATATGTTATAACTGAATCACTTTTTCTTTCCAATTCAGGTTGAAACATTATTACTTCTCTCACAACAAGAAGAAAGACATTTATTGGAGAGGAATGTCAATGCAGCTATGCAGAAAAAAATTGAGGAGCTCCAGAGGAACTTACTACAAGTATTCTGCTGGGTGTTTAAGTCCTTTAATCTATTACTTTAATCCCCATCTATCACTTTTAACCTATCACTCTTATCACTTTTGTTTAGTAACACACTAACACTGCTAATATACGATAGTGTGATCATAATGTGGGGCTTGGAGTGACAAACTGTAAATTGGGCTGATATATATACGTAATTTTTAAGGTTACAAATGAGAAGGTCAAAGCTCTCATGGAGTTGGCACAGTTGAAGCGGGACCATCAATTACTGCAAGAGTATGTTTCTATCTCCAGTTAACATTGTGTATGCTAGGAAGAACTTCATTTTCGTCTCCGTTGCTTTTCATGGTACACTTACTGTCAGAGGAGGATATTAAAAATCTGCCTTCTCACAAAGGTATTATTGTGGAATTTTCCTTCAAAGATTCTTTGTGGGCTTTATCAATCTTTAAGTTTCTGAATGGAAATCATAAGATTGACATGAAGCCGGGCAGGTGTAAAATGACATCTACTATAGCAATAAGTATGGGTTTGAAAGGGAAAAACACAAGAAGGGAGAAGGGTATAGAATGACATCCATTATAGCAATAGCGATGGGTTTGAACAGGAAAAACATGGGAGAGTATATGGAGATGACACTATTGATAGCAATAAGACCTGGTTTTTAAACTGTGATGAGAGTTTTAACCTACAGACATTATACTATTGGCCTACATTTTTTTATTTTGAGCCGAGGGTCTATTGGAAACAGCCTCTCTACCTTCACTAGGTAGGGGTAAGGTTTGCGTACACACTACCCTACCCAGACCCCACCTGAGGGAATATACTGGGTTTGTTGTTGTTGGCCTACATTTTTCTGTTCTTCAATTCATGGTTAAAAGAACACCACCAGCATGTAAATCTGGACTGCTATGACCTTTCTTCCTTGCTCTACTTCTCAACTTATTTAAAGTTGCTTGTTCAAAATGGTAACTGCTAGATGGCTAAATGTTGTAGGAAAGTTAATCAGGCCTCTAGACAAGGAAAATTTGTTGGTGAGATTGCAGTAAAAAGGCCTGTTCAGGAAAAAGATGGAAGATTGAAAAATCTGCTGAAAACTTCTTATTTGAGACGCTGGACTGGCATACAAGATTCAGATGGAAATGATGCTGACACCCATCGAGATTCTGAGGTGATTTATGCTGATAGGAGGCCTACCAATAGCATGGATTATGCTAGGTATTGTTGAAATTTTGCTGATGCTTCTGTTGTATTTTAAAACTGCTCGACTACTGGTGCTCCTAAAAGGAAATACTTGGTATCTCATATTTTCTTTCTGAGTTACCCTTTTCCAGGATGAAGATAGAGAATGCAACTCTAAAAGAGAGCTTAGAAAGTATGGATCATCTAATTCGTGCAGTTAGGAGGCTTCGTCTTTCACTTTTAAAGGTAGTACTTTTTTCTCCTAGTTTTCACAGAGGACTCAGATAGAAGCCAATAATTCACCATAAATATAGTTTGCCTATAAGAGAGATGAATACATAACAAAAACAACGCTTGAAGTAGCAATTAGAAAAGATATTGCAAGTTCTGGCGTAATCGTTAACATTACATAGCTTAATGGTTTTTTTATTCAACTTGAGGTGATGAAGAGGAACAAACTATGTCTTGCTCAATCTCAGTCCTGTAAAGAAGTTCCTCCCGTTTTAACCTTTGCAAGCTGCTTGATATAGGTTAAGGAGTCAGCTGCATCCGAAGGAACGGAGTACTGCTCCTCGGAGTCGTTGGACACCATCATTAATGAGGCAAATCAGTTAAAAACTGCACTAGGAAGTTCCCTCCCTCTTAGTTGGTCAGCAGAGGCAGATTCAGGATCATTCAGCGAACGTGTTGAGATAGATGTTAATGGACACTCTACCGGTGAAAACATGGACTTTGTTTCTGCTGCTGGATTTGAGATGGTTGAGCTTTTGGTGTTCATTGCACAGCTATTGAAAGAGGACAAATGTAGTTGACGCCAAGGATGTATTGGCTGAATTGGAGTAGTGCTGGCTCATATCCGTCCAACCCGCCCAATTAAAAGGGGGTTGGATAATTGACTCATTTAGCAGATCAAATATGGATCATATCCATATAACCCATTATAAAAAAAGGATAACCAACGGGTCAGAAATGGATTCCATGAGTTTAACCTTTGCCAGCAAGTTCCGTTGGTTCTCCAAGCTCCTGTAACATCGAAGAAGCGACCAGAAGAATTTGCGTACAAAAAATTACAAGATACTATGTGTTTTCGTTGGTTAATCTTTTAACTGTAACTCAGTTTGTTGTCAAGTCTTACTCGTTGCACAGAAGGATATTCATTGGTTGGGGCTTGGCTTTTTTAGTTCTTCCTTTCTCTTCCGTTTGTCTTTTTTCTCATTTTTCTTTTACTGTTTTTTTCTTTTGGGTAGTCAAACATTGTAAATTAGTATTTTAGATATTATTTTGCTCCGGGAATGCAAATTTATTTGTTATGCTTCGTCTAGAATGTAGATTTGAAAAAGAAAAAAAGTACATCGTATTTTGTTTTGTGATGATAAAATTTTACGCATCTTTCTCCCGTTCGGCTTGGATAAGAAATCAGTGGGAAATGGTACTACTATTTATTTTTTTGTATAACGTACTGTAAACGTTTCGTTTATACAAAAGTAAGCATTTTTCTTGATTAAATTCGGAACGAGTAAAGAGCATTCTGAGTTTTAAGTAGTAAGAAGAATGAGCCAAAACTACTTACTTATCACTGGACAATGACAAGGGCTTGCTCCAGTGGATGTTAGTAAAACTTGTGCTTTTGGCCCAAAGATTTTTGAATTACTAGATTTTTTAATTGTTGATATTTTCATATTTTAATTGGCCTAGACAATGTTGAAGTTAGTAGAAAAAATTACAAAATCTTTATGAAAAAGAAAAAGAAAACGAAAAATTACCTACTTTTTAATAGTAGAAATATTTTAGAGCTTTGAATTAAACTACTTAAATCTTCATACTAATAAACAGTTTTATAACAATGTCCAAAGTAATATATTACGAATATGTAGCTAACATTTTGTTAAATTGACTTAATCCTTGCCTTGTAAGAATTAATTTAGGATTAGTTATCTCCAATAGCAAAGATTAATATCTTATTTATTTTAAATAAATACCCTTTTAAAAAATTATATTCCATAGCTACCTTTTGAAATTTTATAGCCAAATATCTATTTATGGTCACCTCCTACCCTTAAGCCATAAAATAAGCTTTGTATTATTTTTCTCTCATGTCCCCTCAAATTTCTCTTATCCCCTACCCCATATCTATTATCTCTCTCTCTACTTCCCGATCTCATATCCTCTTTTCTTCTTTCTTGTACAATTTCAACATTGTACAATAGCAGTTACCTCCTCTTTTCTCCTTTGTCGCTGGCGGTGAAGGCCATTCCTGGTGTCGCCGGATTATAGGTAACTAATCCTACAAAAGGATTATAAGCCTTTATCGCCGGCAGATTCTGGACAAAAGTTTCCCTTTTGTAGGATTACTACTCCTAGAATTCCCAAATTCAAAAATGGGGAAAAATGATTTCTTTAACCCCAAAGGCAATTGCGAATCGAATCAAAGCTAAGTGCTTACAAAAGCTACGATGGTATTACCAGATGTGTCAGAAGCAATGTACAGGATGCGTTGGAACAGTGAGATTCAGAGATATTCCTTGACGGCGAATTCGCCGAAAATTAGGGTTTGTTCTTGAACAAAGACGACGGATTTTGGGGGTGAGCAACTTGATTTTCAGTTAATATATTTCAATGTATTTTCAACGTATCATGATGTATTTTCACGTATTTCATTGTATTTATTGTTTTTTTTTTCATTGTAATTCAATATATCTCGTTGTATTCAATGTATTTCATTGTATTCACTGTCTTTTTTTCACTGTATTTCAATGTATCCCGTTGTATTCTATGTATTTCATTGTATTCATTGTCTCGCTAAATGCCATGAATGTATTCATATGTTTTTTTAATTAATATAATTTATGTATTCAGATGTATTATATAATTTCTTTGAAGATTGCTATGTTTTTGGGTATTTTTCGGTTGAGAATCTTTTTTATGACTGAAAATACAAAATTTGTGTGTTATAATTGAGTTTGTTGAGTTATATTAGGAGTATATTATGTTAATTGATTCACTTTCTGTTTTAAAAACAGTGTAATCCCTTATTTTATGCCGTGAATACAGTCGAATACAATAATTTGAACAACTGTAATCCCATATTTCACTCTATGAATACAGTCGAATACACTCAAATACAACAACTGATTAGCTGGACTTCCCTGATTCACGCCTATTTTTTATATTGTATTCATGAATACAATAGCTTAAATACATCAAATACATCTTATAACCACAGAAAATGTATCTATAATCCGTAGTATAGCAAATAGTATCTATAGATGGCAAATTACTAATAAAAGATAAAGCTTTATGAAAATTACTATCAAATGTTTATTGTGAGCTTAAAAATCTTGTAATAATATTACGCTATAAACAAAAAGTATGAAGAAAAAAGAACGGGTTATTTAAATTTTAGGTTTTGACAGTTAATTTTATTGAGTCAGGCCTTGGACAGTGGTTATTAAAGGAAGACAATATTTTAGATGCAAGTTGGAACTAATAACCCGACAAGTGAGGCTTGCTCAGTTGGTAAAGCACCTCAAAATATAAATGTGTAACTTCAAATCGGGGACAAGTTTAAAGGTAATCGTTCCCAAGAAGAAAACGAAAAGAAAGAATTTGATAAAACAAAGGAATTAAAGTTGGAAGAGAGCTATGGTGGAAATGTTGCGCATCTAATGTGGATAACTCTACATTTGGCTTGCTCAGTAGGTCCTGGGTTCGAGTCACACTGGAGGAGAAGTGTGAAAACACTATAGATCCTCCTAATTAAGGAGGGGTTAAAAAAAAAATTAATAACCCGATTTTTTTATTTTTTTTTTAGCTTAGAGTATGAACCCATAGCATCCACTAACTGTTGCACATTACACTATAAACAACCTTCGGGTCATTAGTTTTTTTTTTAACCCCTCCCTAATTAGGAGGATCTATAGTGTTTCCATACTTCCCTTCCAGCGTGACTCGAACCCAAGACCTACTGAGCAAGCCAAAAGTAGAGTTATCCACATTAGATGCGCAACATTTCCACCATAGTTCTCTTCCAACTTTAATTCCTTTGTTTTCATCAACTTCTTTCTTTTCGTTATTTTCTTGGGAACGGTTACCTTTAAACTTGTCCGCGATTTGAAGTTACACATTTATATTTGGAGTTCTATTATTCCCTTAAACTTTTTCGACATTGAATTAATACACTATTAAGACGCATACCTGAAAATATATGGAACTTTATTTCTTTGGCTAGTTTTTTTTTCTTTTATTATTTCAGTTAAACCCTACAATGTGTTAAGAAATGAGAATAAATTCTACAAAACAGTCAGAATAGTTTGGTTTTACATGTTGTTGGTATGTAGCGTCTATCTATCATTCCCTTTATTTAATTTTTTTTGTCAGGCATTCAATTATGTATCTGTAATCGTGATAGAATTCAGATACTTAATTACCAATACGGAAGAGGGCATTTGGTCTAGTGGTATGATTCTCGCTTTGGGTGCGAGAGGTCCCGAGTTCGATTCTCGGAATGCCCCATACTATACATTCTTTTCGTTTCAGCTTCTAGCTTTTGTACTTTTGTTTTGTTAAGATGGGCAAGAAGTCGAAAATCCAGCAGATCAATCACCCACATACCACAAGCTAAAACTGGTATGTTTTTATTTAATTTTTAGCCAATTGTAAATAAAAATAAGAATTTTTTTTTTAAAAAAACTGGTATTTTCCAAGAAGGATTTCACATTCAGGAAAGGCAAAGGCTTTGGCACTAGTTTTAAGCCCACACTTACAGGTGCACCAAAACAATTCTAGATTAATATAAAACGTGAGATCTCACACCAGTCGTGGGCATTTGGTCTAGTGGTATGATTCTCGCTTCGGGTGCGAGAGGTCCCGAGTTCGATTCTCGGAATGCCCCTTATTTTTTGTGCAATTTTCTATACTTTTTCTATTCAACGACGTCTTTGTATCCAATTTCTTGTTTTTCTTTTCTTTTTGGTTTAAGTATCCAATTTCTTGTTGTAGTGTAAAGCAATATTTTCAGGTTTTAGCGTGCTATATTTTATTAAACATAGAGCGCATTGGCCAGAAAGCCTACTGCTAAAAATAATTCTATTAGTTATAATTCACTCTTCTCCTAGTCAATAAGCGAAACAGAAACCTAACTATCCAACTGGATAAATTGCAAAATCGAGAGAACGTCAACAGCTGAGTTGTCTTGTCACAAGTTCTGATATTTTGGAGTGCCCCAACAATTATTTGTGTGGCGTTTTACCCGAACCTCCCCCATTGCAGGGATGTCAAAACACAGGATTTTCAGTATTTTTTACTATAAAACAATCAGCGCTGAAATTGATGTTCTGAAAATTGCAGCAAGTTCATCAGCCATTTATGTCACTTAAGATTCAAACAATAGATTCACACTTGGTCACATACTCACAATTTAATGCGACAGGGGAATCAATATTTTTTTAGTTTATTAATTATCAGTAAATAGGAACATTTCTACAGTCCAGACCAAACTTTGCTTTGTCATTGCCTGTACTAACCTTACCTAACATTTGACTTTAAGAGCTCTTTACTATTTCCCTTTTGATAAGCATTCTGACCTCACGTCAACTAAGAAACTCAGCCAAATGTCTTCATACAACAAAATTAGCAGGTAACGATTCTCTCAATTCATGTTAATGGATAACCAAATGGCATGGGCTTACCTGTTCATTTTACCTAAAAGCAGATCTGAAACTCCAAACTTCAATTCAAACTCCCAACAGATCTCTAAATATAAATAGTCGAACACATAACGTCAAGTATCTGTATGCCATCATTTCAGATATGCTTTTTCTGCAAGCTGTTTTCAATTTGACAATCCAGGCAAAACATAAAAGAGAAGTTAGTATACGGGTTTTAGTTACATCAAGGATTCATATTGTTTGGTCTACAGCAAATTTACATGAGCGCGCCATTTCACAAAAAAGTAATAATGATATAGCTTAATAAAGAAGGTAACCCCTCTTTATATCTCATATCCAAATGGGAGACGGCAAAAGTACCAGAGAACATTTAATCAAGGAAATGAAGATCAACTGGTGTGAAATAAGGAGTACCTGAATTCTACATTGCAGATGAGCAATGACATTTATGATCAAATAAGTCAGAATGGGAAAAACATTGTGACTAAAATTCAAAGATGACAATGTTTACAAATGGGCATTTGGTCTAGTGGTATGATTCTCGCTTTGGGTGCGAGAGGTCCCGAGTTCGATTCTCGGAATGCCCCTTGATTTTACTGAAGTTTTATTTACTTTAGTTGATTTAACTCTCCAAGTGCTCCTTCATCTCTAACTGACCCTATAGTCGAGTATGTTCAGATATTACAACCAGATACGGACAACTTCCACACTGTACAATTAAAACACCTTTAATAGCATAGTAAATTAATATGCCTCTCTATATACATTATTTTAACAATGGAGGAGCCCCCAGACACTGGAAAATGCTCATCCCTCTTAATATCATTTAATGGTATAAGCTCCAGGCAACTGACATGAAACTTCCAGCTATTATTTAGACCAATGAACCAGCAAAAGCTGGGCATTTGGTCTAGTGGTATGATTCTCGCTTTGGGTGCGAGAGGTCCCGAGTTCGATTCTCGGAATGCCCCTGCTAATGTAACCATTTTACTTCATTTTAGCTGCTCTGCTCCTTCGCTCTATCTTCTAATTGATATATTCAAATTAAGCAGGTCATAAGTGGCTGACCCAGTCCAATTGGCTAGAGATCTTCTAAGAAATACACTTAGTTTCTCTCTATAGTCTCAACTTATCATGCAAACGCTATAATTTACCCACCACCTTGTTAACAATAGAAGCAGAAAAACTAGCACATAACCTAACTTTTTCATCTTAGAAGACGTAGTGTGAACTGTATTGCAAGATTATCTTCAAGGAACATAAGCTACTGGCCAATTAGTCTAGTTGTATAGTTCATGGGTGCAAAGTTCCCAGGTTACGGAATGTCCCTACCAACTTTGAGAAGAGTTGGCCAGAACCTCCGCCATCTAAAGTATTTCAGTATTTTCTTAAACAGTCAGCATTGAGATTGATGTTATGAAAATTGCAGCAAGTTCATCAGCCATTCATGTTACTAAGATTCAAACAATAGAATTCACACTTGGTCACATGCTGAGTATTTAATGCGATAGGGGAATCAATAGTATTTTTTTGGTTTATTAATTATCAACAAATAGGCATTTCTACAATCCAGACCTAACTTTGCTTTGTCAATATATGCCTGTCCCAAATCTTACCTAATGCTTTGTGTAAGAGCTCTTTATTGTTTCCCTTTTGGTAAGCTTATCCCAAGTCAACTAAGACACTCAGCCAAATTTTCTTCACACAAAAAAATTGCAGGTAAAGATTCTTTCCATTCACGTTAATGGACCACCCAATTGGATGGGTCACATGAAGCTAAATAAGGAAGATCTAGATCTATATACAAAAAATTAATACAACATGAATATTTGCAATAGCGCAGAGTTGACCTTGCCTGTTCAGTTTACCGAAAAGCAGATCTGAAACTCCAAAGTTCAGTGTCCAACTCCCAAGAGATCCCTAAATATAAAATGTCGAACAGATAAGCTCGAGTATCTCAACCATAGTAAGCCATCATTTCAGACATGCGTTTTTGCCATCTCTTTTCAATTTGATAAAGCAGGCAAAACTTAAAAGTTAGCACATGCATTTGTCGTTACAACTTACATCAAAGATTCATAAAATTTTGTCCAGAACAACTGAAATCATTAATCAATGACATGGAGGTGTTGCAAAAATTGAGGCAAAAGCTTTCACGTCGAAATAAGGAGTAACGCAGATACCCGTTGTTACTGAATCATATCCATTTCAATATAGTGAAACAAAGAATCATGAATATCATTGTACCATGTTGAGTTGCGCCCAATTTACATATAATGAGCTGCACCATTCCATGAAAAAAAGTGATAAGGATATAGCTTGATAAAGAACGTATCCGAAAGAGAACTGGAAATAAGAGAACACAACAGAAGCCAAGGTTTAACTATTAATGTGATGCTCCCCAACTTAGTGGAGCTTTCTTTACTTCAGGCATGATTTAACTCGAACTATGATGTCAAACAAGTCATCTTAATCCCGCAAATGCCAGAGACCTGGCCTCATGTCCAATGAGAGTTCTTAATCACTAGACAGACTTCATTGCTTTTGGATTCCGAATGCCCAAAAGGTTGAATATGACAGAGAAGGATAGTGAATAGACAAGTGACAGAAATTACCAGAGCTGATAGCATCTTTATGCATTGAGATCAGCACAAATCAGAGAGCAAAAACATAATATTTTAATCAACCCCTCTTTACATCTCACTAATCCATGTGGGAGTCACAATAAGGACTGAAGAACATTTTTTTAAGCAAATGAATATCAGCTGGTATGAATAAGGAGTATAAATCTATATTGCAGATAAGCAAGACATTGCGATCAAATAACTCAGAAGGTGAAAAATACGTTTGACTAAAACTCAAAGATGACAATGTCAACGAATGGGCATTTGGTCTAGTGGTATGATTCTCGCTTTGGGTGCGAGAGGTCCCGAGTTCAATTCTCGGAATGCCCCTTGATTTTGTAGAATTTTAATTTACTCTAAGTTGATTTAAATCTCCAAACGCTCCTTCATCTCTAAATGATTCTACAGTTGACTATGTTCAGATATTACAACCAGATACACCAACTTCCAGTCTACAACTAAAACACTTTTACATTATTTTAACAATGGAAGATCCCTGAGACACTGGAGAATGCTGGTACTCCTAGAAAATAATTTCATAGAAATGGTATAGGCTCCAGATAACTGTACATGAAACTTCCAGCTATTATTTAGGCAGAGGGACCAACAAAAGCTGGGCATTTGGTCTAGTGGTATGATTCTCGCTTTGGGTGCGAGAGGTCCCGAGTTCGATTCTCGGAATGCCCCTTGATTTTGTAGAATTTTAAGTTACTCTAAGTTGATTTAAATCTCCAAGTGCTCCTTCATCTCTAAATGATTCTACAGTTGACTATGTTCAGATATTACAACCAGATACACCAACTTCCAGTCTACAACTAAAACACTTTTACATTATTTTAACAATGGAAGATCCCCGAGACACTGGAGAATGCTGGTACTCCTAGAAAATAATTTCATAGAAATGGTATAGGCTCCAGATAACTGTACATGAAACTTCCAGCTATTATTTAGGCAGAGGGACCAACAAAAGCTGGGCATTTGGTCTAGTGGTATGATTCTCGCTTTGGGTGCGAGAGGTCCCGAGTTCGATTCTCGGAATGCCCCAAAAAAAATTAGTGCCCTTTTTTCAAGCCTGTCTTTATACAGCATAATTTGCAGGAAAAGATTCTTTGTACTCTCATTAATGAGCCACCAAATGGCATGAGTTAGATGAACTGAATAACATGTAACTAGACTATGAGCTAAAAATTAATACAGCAATAGTGCAGTGTTGGGGCTACCTGTTCAGTTTCTGATAAGCAGATCTAAACCTCCAAAGTTCATGTCAATCTCCGAACAGATCCTGAATATAAATACTGAAGGGTAAGCTCAAGTATCTCAACTATCTTGAGCCATCATTTCACACATGCGTTCCAGTTTTACCATCTGTTTTCAATCTGACTGAGAAGGCAAAACTTAAAAGTTAAGTTAGTACATGGGTTTGTCTACATCAGAGATTCATAATGTTTAGTCTATAACAAGGTCATTTACTTCTCAAAGAAAGAAAAACAAAGCCATATATGGGTCAAGGAAATCAACAGTAACAACTGAAATCATTGATCATCAATGGCTGAAAGTTCTTTCAGAAATTCAGGCAAAAGCTCGCAGAATTTCACATCAAAATGAGGGCTGAATGTATACCCATAGTTCATGAGCAATTTTCATTTCCATTAGAAAACCAACAATGCATGAACATCATTGTACCGTGTTGTTCTGTACCAATTTACATAGAGTGAGCTGCACAATTTCATGAAGACAAGTGAAAACGATATAGCTTTGTTAGATAGTTATGTGCAAATAGTCTTAGTCGCATATGTAATAGAAGTAGGTTATATACTATGTGTACTTATAAATAGGGTTAATTGTATTACAATTAATATCAATAATACATTTTTCTCCCGTGCTTTCTCAGAGGGTATGAGAGCTAACGTGAGAGATTCATCCCTGTGCAAAAATACCAGCGACTCCGAGAAGAAGAAATCAGTTAACCAGAAAATTTTCCGGTGCCTGCAGGTCTGTCCAATTTAAAAGTTCCTTTTTGTCGGTGTTGTGCAAAAACCAACACCACCACGAGGTAGATCACCCTCCGGTGACCAACCCCGAAAAAAATCTCCGTCAGAATACCTGTCACGCGCCCTCACGCGCCGCTGACAGTGAATTTTCGGCGCGAGTGAGCCATTCCTGCCACTTTTTGACAAAACTTCTCCAGGACAGCTTACTCGTCCAGTGATTCCGAGCCTACCCATATAAATTACATCAAATTCTGACAACTTTTATTTTTTTCAGCGTGAGCAGTGCACTTTTTCCGGGGTGAACAGTGATCTTCCGCGTGAATAGTGATTTCTCGGAAAGTTTTTGTTTTCTGGCGGTGTTTTAGAACCTATTCTGTAGTGTGGAATTCTGCTAGTCTCACTATTATCAAATTTTTCTGGCGACTTTTCGGTCAACTTCTATTTATCAGCAACCACCTGGTTTTGTTGCTCACGGGGAGTGTTAGATAATTATGTGTAAATAGTCCTAATTCCATATTTAGTAGGGGTAGAATATATCCTAGTCCTATATGTAGTAGGAGTAGAATATGTCATAGTCCCATATGTAGTAGGAATAGAATATGTATTATATATAGGGCTCATTGTATCATTGTTAATAATAGATTTTTCCCCGTGCATTCTCACAAGCTTAAAAGAGAAGGTGCCCAAAAGAGAACTGGTAAGAACAGAACCCAACAGAAAGTCCGTGTTTAACTATAAATGTGATACTTGAGTAGGCTTTCCTTACTATGATGCTCAAACATGCAATATTAACACAGCTAATGCCAGGACCTGGTCTCATGTCCAATGACAGTTCTCAATCACTAGACAAATTTCGTGGCTTTTTTATTCCAGATGCTCAAAAAGGTTGAGTATGATAGAAAAGGATGATACATAGACAAGCACCAGTAACAACTAAAGCTGATAGCATCTTTAGGGATCGAGAGCAGCGCAAATCAGAGGAAGCTGCAAATACATCATATGTAAGCACTCCCTCTGAGTATCTCCCATTTCTAAATGGGAGTCAGCAAAAGTACCAAAGAATACTTGATAAGCAAATGAAGATCAACTGGTGTGGATTATGGAGTATCTGAAGCCTAAATTGCAGATAAGCAAAGACATTCACAACCAAATAACTCACAAGGGAAAGTTACATTTGACTAAAACTCGAAGATGGAAATTGTCAACAAACGGGCATTTGGTCTAGTGGTATGATTCTCGCTTTGGGTGAGAGAGGTCCCGAGTTCGATTCTCGGAATGCCCCCAAATTTTGACTACCCTTTTTCAAGCCTGTACTCCTGCGGGTTATAAAGGATCAGAAGGAAAAATATAGGATTTTCATTTAACACTTTGCTGAACAATTAACATTGAGATTCCTGTTCTGAAAACTGCAGTAAGCTCATCAAGTATTTAAGATGTTGGGATTCCAATGATGAACGGAATTCCCTTTACGTCATGCATGGACAATAAAATTTATTTACTGTATTAAATACTAACAAAAGGAAATTGATACAAGAAGGCGCTAACTACTTATTGCTGATCCAAACAGTCAAGGCAGAATTCTAGAACTGATTCTTCTTTCTAGTGTATTTTTGTAAACCATACTTAATGTTTGACTTTCACCACTCTTTTTGTTCTCCTGTTCTGTGCACATTCTGATCATAAGACAACCAAGACAGTCAGCCAAAATGCATGTTCTATGAGACCCGCAATATGAACAAGCTCGAATACATGTAGTTATATATAAACAAGAATATCATCCTATATTATTTAAGTAACAAAAAGAATCTGGGAGCAACAAAATTAGCAGGAAAGCCATGTTTCTTCAGTATATGTTATTCCTAAATTTGGTGCCTCAATTTATGCTGTGAATTCACCTCAAAACAGTGGTGCTAGAACATGAAGCAAACCGATTTACGCCAGAGATCTAGCTTCACTTTAAGTCAAATTCCATGTTCTTGGATAATATACAACCACTGGGTTAAATCTAGTAAAAGAGGATTTCAAAGAGAATTGGACCAGTACAAAAGAAGGTTGTAGCATCTGTAGAAGTCAGGAAAAGTGAAGATCAGAAAAGAGGTTGCCAAAGCAGAAGCATTAAAGCACTTGTCTTTTTCCAGTAATATTAGGATACAGCAGAAGTACTAAAAATATCAACGGGTCTGAATTAAGAGGTCTAAAGATTCTAAATTTGCAACTATGCAAAGCTTTTATGATTGATTTTTCCAGACAATAAGGAAAAGACATTGATCATGAGCCAAAAATGACAATAATCAACAACTGGGCATTTGGTCTAGTGGTATGATTCTCGCTTTGGGTGCGAGAGGTCCCGAGTTCAATTCTCGGAATGCCCCATCTTTTTTCAATTCAAATGTAGACTAGATCAAGTTTTTAATGTTTTCTTTAGTAGATAATTTATTATTAGAATCTGACTCTTCCTTATTTCAGCACATGCAGATACAAGGTAAGACACCATTTATCTTAAAGAATTCCTACTAAATACCCTATTCATTAAAAATGGTAATTTTCCTATCAAGTACCTGGATTTCTTATCCCTCAAGAGAATAAAGAGAGAAAATTCCTCTACTAGAGAAAATGAAAAAGAGAATCAGATTGGAAAAGAAAAGTGTTGTCCTCTGGAGATCGACTAAGGCTTATTAAACATGTTGTAGCCTTCCTATGATGCATTATTGCTTCTAAAGGTACAGAAGCCACATAAATGTTTGAGTACACTTTTTATATATGGTTTACGGTACTGAAGAGGTTAAGTAAGACTACTTGAGTAGATAGTATCAAAAATCTGATCCAAAGTTTATCTAAGACACTATAAAGAAACGGGGTTAGTCACTGAAGATACTCTGGTACTAATGTTAGCATGATACACAAAAGTGTACATCAACTCATTTTAATTCCAGAACCATGCTGATGACTGTAAGCCAGTAATGGCAATGGATGTCATCCAAAGTCCCCATATGCAAATCAATCAACCAAATTAGTTATGAGACTAGAACTTTCAGAGCAGATAGCAACACAATCACAAAATACTAGGGGTACAAAGTGGCAGTATTCATAAAGCCAGCAAACTATAACTGTTTGATGTTTGATGTTTCAAGTAAAGAATGTTATCCACAAGTATGGTTTTGACTCTTCCACACTGTAACATTCGTTGAGGACAGAATCTTTTAGGGTGAAAACATACCCTTTTAGTTTGGATTGATACAAGAAAATCCTCATAACAGATTAGTACAGTACCATGTCAGTAAAGACAAATTCAGCTGCTCATAAGCATTTGTACCACTTAAAGATGTACGAAACACCAAACTTCAAATACTTACATATGCACAAGAAAATACTGAAGCAGGAAAGAACTTTCAAATGCAAACTGGTTGACTGCAAGGAAGTACAAGCTCAATGCACAACATTCTCCAGAACACATGTACGAGAACAGAAGTGCTCAAGGTCAATCTTTCAGAGTTTTCCATCTGGTTCATTTTCCATTATTACTATGTTGGTTATTATTAATGATAATCATTGTTCAATTTTCCTCGTGTTTATTTTTGTCATTTTTACTTCATATGAATGAATAAATCAAGAGGATTTGCTAAAATTGTGAGTAAGATTGGTAGATACAGTACAAGTAAGTGCAAATCATCTACCTGAAACTCATGCAACAAACATTACAACAACAACAACCCAGTATATCCATGCAACAAACATTCTTCAAATTATATCCATGAGCTTTAATACCTTATCAGAAGAAAAAAGCATTGCAATCAACATCAAAGAGGGCATTTGGTCTAGTGGTATGATCCGCGCTTTGGGATAAAATCAAGTACTTGCCAACAAATTGATCCAAAGGTTGCAACTTTAATTCCTTATGCACATATAAAAGTGCTCACAGGTCAATTTTGACAGCATACTAATGCCATGAGGCAGGTCCTAACTCGTCCATTTGATTCCTCAAAAACAATCCTCCACCTTGTCCACCACCAACCATGTTGCTTCTATTGGAATACAAACATATGACCTTGCTCTAACACTAATTGAAAGGATCCAAGCATACAATTGAAAAAACAAAGGCAATAAGTGAGCTAGCTTAAAATTTTAATAAGCTTTTTGGATGCCCTTATACCTTCGATAAGGAATGGCATATGTATCTAGCAAAAAACTACACTATTCTTCCCCCATGGCATATAACTTTAGCACAAACCAAACAAATTCTATCTAACAAGCAGCTGACCAGAAAAATATTGGATTTTGATCTAACCAAAACTTAGAAGTCCCATCGGTGAATGAATTCAATAATAGCTAGTAGAACTCTTAATAATTGCAATACTACAAATCCCTCGACTGGGATATTTAGGTGTCGATCTAAATAATACAAAAACTAGCTAGAAATGTGTAATGTAAGCAAGAGCATAAAGCTACTTTTTCAACTCAAGTTGACAGAGAAAGTGACTTACCTTGAGGAACTCAGACATCTGATGGTGAAAAGGCCATTTTAATTTCACAAATATACAAAGAGCTACAAGGCAAAGAGAATGAATAGAAATATTTGGAAGTTATACCTCAATATATGCTGCTCTCTCCGACCCAATTTATAAACACTCTTTTTCTGTTTCGGACGTCCCAGAATATTTGATACAATTCCACCACTAATAATCATTCTATATAACTTTCATCTTTCAAAAGTTAAACTCATTAATCTATTAAAATTTGAACTTTAAACTGATTTTCTCTACCAAGCTAGTTTTTTAACTATTGCTTTAGTACTTTTCTTCAACCTATTTTACCAAGAAATCCATGTGGAGCCAACCCTTAGCACCAGCTGCAGCCTTAAAAGCTCGGTGATAAGCCTGCTCCTCTAACTTTTTCCACTTAAATAGCAGGCATACCATTTGGATTGACTTAAAAAAAGTAGCTTTTAAGCACCACTTTTTAAGTGCTGGAGCTGATTTTATAAATAAGCAGTTATGTGTTTGGATAAAAGTGTTGGAGCTGAAAAAGAGTTGTTGAAATGTTTGGTAAACAAGGGCTGGTAAGCACTTTTTCTATTAAAATGATTGAAATATCCTTAAAGTTGTTAACACTATAAAGAAGCTTATTACTATAATATTGTATTTCAAACTTATTAATATAAATACGAAATAATTAATATCTGAACTGACCATCTAAGATAATTTTTATAAATATAATTGTTGAACTCTTATTTTTCACTTCTTTCAACCATGTAAATTTTTTATTTGTTTCTTGAAATTCTAAGCTTACTGGAAAAACATATGAAATGACTATCACAATTTATTATTTTATTTCTTATTTGAACTATGTAAAAATTCCTAATATTTAGGAAATCAAAATAAAATAAACTTGTACTTTTTAAAATTATTTGAAAATTGTATGTATAGTTAATTAGAAATTACAATGCAACTAGAACTGTTGGTCGCACACGAGTTTAAATTCTTAGAAAAAAAATCAAACTTAAGTACAATCTATGTAAGAGATATTAAAGTCAAAATAAGTTCACCGTTCTGACAAATTTTAAAAATTTGAGTTGGATATTATAATTATTTCAAAAGTTTGTGAAGGACATTTTTGGAATAACAAATATTATTAGGAATAAGAGGGTAAAATACTTGGTCAAAAATAGTTGGCTTTTGAGCTAAAAAAAAAAGTTGGGATCAGCCAACTCGTGGCTTTTGGCTTTTTCTAAGCCAGTTTTAACTTTTTTTAAGCTGTTTTCTTTTTTGCCAAACACTCCCAACATCTAAAAATCTACCAGCTTTTAAGTCAATCCAAACAGATAGTTCACCTGACACATGGCTCGAACCTGTGACCTTAATCACGAGTCCCTCGACTTTTTCTTCTACCTATATTATTATAACAGAAAAATCAAAATAATAGCTTAAACTACATATCTAGTCCACTCCATCACTAAAAAATGGGACAAAGGAAGTACTGGAATACTAATTTACCCGGGAAAAAAAGTTGCAGGCAAAATATAGCTACGGCTAAGCAACTCAAGCACGACTAAGTAGCTGCAATTTCGAACTTATATATATATAATGTAAAATTAACAAATAATATGGATATACTGGAGTAGCTTGGATTTGACAGAAGACTTGGGGAAATTAAAGAAGATGCACAAACCTGAAAAGTAAAAAATCGCTGAGAATTTAACAGCCGTATTGGATTTCGGAGTCGGAGAATGTTCCGAGCAGAGAATATTTGAACAGTTAATTGGAGTTATTTAGAGATTTTAAATTATAATTTTCCTCGGAATTGAAACCCGCGTGCCGTTTTGCGCGCGCAATTATTTTGTTTTTCTTTTCTTTTTTTTCCCCTCTTTGGGGGAAGTAATTTTTTCTCGCTCACGTGGCTTCCATTCTTTTTAGTGCTTTTCATTTTTTTTAACCTCCACCCATCCAGTAGAATCGATATAATTCATTATTTACTAATTACTCTCCCATTTCAATTTAGAGAGTCCGAAACCTTTTTAATCATTTTTTTTGACAAAAAACACTTTTGTACTACTTTAAAAAAAAATTTACATAAATGAGTAAAACGCAGTATTATATTGCGAATTACGTTAACAAAAATTTTGTCGTTAAAGTAATTCGCAGTATAGTACTGCGTTTTACTTAAAAAAAAAATTGTAAATCGCAGTACTATACTGTGTTTTACTAAGATGATGGGCACTACTATATTTTATTAAAGTTGTTCGCAGTATTATACTGCGTTTTACTTAAAACGCAGTATAATACTGCGAACAACTTCAATATAATATAGCCCNGTAGTAAAATATAGAGCATGTTAGTGTTGTAAAATATAGAGCCTTTTAGCGTAGAGTCTATGTAGTTTAAGTATGCAGTAACTGCAAACTCTATCAAATTACACTTTACAAAATTAATTATTTAATTATAACAATAAACTTACAAAAGTAACAAATTCATATATGTTGTAAAATTAACTCAAATATCGAGCTTGGAACCCATACATAATTATTCTGTCCAATTTTAAATATAATTAATTATTTAATTTATTAAGCTAGCACACACAATTCTAAAATGTTAAAATTGACACGCATAATAATTAAGGATAACTCGGTGCTACCGAGCCTAAAAAATCGAGCCTGGAACTCATACATAATTATTCAGTCAATTGTAAACATAATTAATTATTTAATTTATTAAGCTAACACACACAATTGTAAAAATATTAAAATTGACACGAATAATAATTAACGATAACTCGGTGCTACCGGGCCTCAAAAAATAAGCTTGGAACCCATACATAATTATTTAGTCAATTGTAAATATAATTAATTATTTAATTTATTAAGCTAACAGACATAGTTCTAAAAATGTTGAAATTAACACGCATAATAATTAAAGATAATTTGGTGCTATCGGGCCTCAAATATCGAGCGTGGAACCCGTACATAATTATTCAGTCCAATTTTAAATATAATTAATTATTTAATTTATTAAGCTAACACACACAATTAATTTTGTTTAAATTATAGTAGACGACATGGACTTTCCTCCGTCTGCGCATCCCGGACCTGCCGAGGATCAGCTACTAGTGTTGCAGGGCGACCATAGGTCCTCATTTGTATGGGAGGGACAACTATCGATGCAGCCTCTCCGCCCCAAGAGACCTAACGATTTATGGGAGTTCATCGGGGAGCATCCTTTCCATGCCCGCGTAGTCGTGCGCCTACAGGCTACGGGCTTCTATACGATTTTTGAGCTTGGACGGATGCAGCTTGATTGGTCTCTCATCACGGCCTTGGTAGAGCGGTGGCGACCGGAGACGCACATTTTTCACTTACCCACTGGAGAGGCCACCATCACGCTGGAGGATGTTCAGGTTTTGTACGGGCTGCGCGTAGATGCGGAGGTGAAGGCGAAACTGAAAAAGGTAGAAGAAGAAAAAGAACGAATGCAAGATCGATTTAAGTGGTTGGAGCGGAGAATAAATGGCAATCGGGACTGCACATTTGCTTGTATGTGTTTAGTGTATTTTTCATATTTCATGTATTTTTATTATGTTGGCATGTTATGTTTGTATTTGTGGTGTAGTAATGCTTTATTTTAATTTAAGTGCAAGTTAAGTTTAAGTGCTTGTGTTGTTATATGAAACTATCAAACCACACTCTACATATTATATTTCCTACAATTAAACAACTTTTTCTTCACTCATTTCAAATTGTGGAACATAATTTTATTTGATATATATTGCAACATACACAAGTAAAAACATGTATTACNNNCCAACTTGTTGAAAGCACTTCAATGCATGTGCGTACGGCATGTGGTAGATGGTCCATTTCCCACATGAACATAACCTTCTATTTTCATTCACCGTCTGTAGATTATTCCCACGGTGTCCGCGGATAGCGGTCTTAACTTCAAAAACACCCCGTTCATGATCGTACTGAAGAAATGAATGCCACTGTCTGGACTCCGCTCACGCCTCCATTCAACAATAGTCTCGGGGTTAAAGTGTTGCAGTGCGGCCATGTACCTGGGCAGATTTGAAAAAGACTTATCCCAGTCGCCATAAATAAGTTCAAATGCACGTTTGCGGCCGAGATATGCCTTTCTTTTGGTTATAGTACAACCATACTCCCGGTGGACGATTGTAATACACTCTTTAATCTTGAACCTAATGGACACTTCCAAATATGGAATCAAGATAAGAGAAATCAAGTCCACATCCAAGTTGAAGCGATTCTCATTGTATGTGTCCATTTCACATCTGTGCTCGCTAATAAATTTACCCACTTTCCACAAACCTGATTTCTTCTTGGTGGCACGCAACATCCAGTGACAACC